GTCAAGGGTCGTGGAGTAGCTCGATTTGCTCGGTCAAATCATATCAGCATCTCGAGTCTTTAATGGCTTTAACATGGCAAATGAAACTACAAAGGGAGAAATCATCCTCCCATCAACGTGGCCGGAACCATACAAGACACCAAATTTCATGTCATCGAAGGTGACATGAGGCATAGTGCTTTACTTGGAAGGCCGTGGATCCATAGCATGAGGGCGGTGCCATCGACCCTTCATCAAATGATCAAGTTCCCAACAAAGGATGCGTGAAAATAGTATATGGAGAGCAACATGCAGCTAAGGCGACGTTTGCAGTACATGACTTAGCACCGGTATCGACACCATCCACATCGGAAAAGTCAAAGGACAAACAGGCAGCCAAATAGCAATCACAGCCCGTACCCTCGATTGAGCCCGAGGGACAAGTGATTGATGAACAGGTGGTCGAGGAAGAAGAAAAAGATTCCCTCATCCCCCGAGCCTTCACTTCCCCCGAGGAATCGGATGCAACAAAGTCCACGGTCGAAGAACTCGAGCAGGACGTATTGATCGAGCATCTTCCGGAACGAAAGGGATCCCACGGGAGATAATTACCCATCGACTAAGTGTCGATCCCAGATTTAAACCGGTGAAGCAAAAGAGGAGACCTCAGTCCAAGGTAAAGCATGCATTCATCAAATAAGAGGTAACCAAACTTCTCAAGATAGGATCCATTAGGGAAGTAAATATCCCGAATGGCTAGCTAACGTAGTGGTAGTCCCTAAAAAGGGGAATAAACTTAGAATGTGTATAGACTACAAAGATTTGAACAAAGCATTCCCTAAAGATTCTTTCCCATTTCTCGACATCAATCGTTTGATCGATGCTACGGCCGGCCACGAGATTCGTACTTTTTTCGATGCCTACTCTGGGTACAACCAAATTCAAATGAACCTGGAGGACCAGGAAAAGACTTCGTTCATCACGCAGTATGGTACGTATTGTTATAATGTAATGCCCTTCGGGCAAAAAAATGCAAGAGCCACATATCAACGCCTAGTTAATAAGATGTTCGAACATCAAATAGAAAATCCATGGAAGTTTATATTGATGACGTGCTAGTTAAGTCCTTGCGCGCAGAGGACCATTTGACCCATTTGCAGGTGACGTTCTATATCCTAAGAAAGTACAACATGAAGCTCAACCCCGAGAAATGCGCTTTTGGAGTCGGCTCGGGCAAGTTCTTGGGCTTCATGGTGCCGAACAGGGGTATCGAGATCAACTCCGATAAAATCAAAGCCATCGAGGAAATTACCGTAGTGAACAATGTGAAAGCCGTACAACGGCTGACCGGACGGATAGCTACCCTAGGACGATTTATCTCGAGGTCATCAGATCAGAGCCATCATTTTTTTTCCTACTCAAGAAGAAGAACAACTTTGCATGGACTCCGGAGTGCCGACAAGCCTTGGAAGAATTGAAACGGTATCTCTCGAGCCCACCCCTGCTCCATACTCCGAAGGAGGATGAAACACTCTACTTGTATTTAGCCGTTTCTGCGGTGGCGGTAAGTGGCGTGTTGGTTCGAGAAGAGCAAGGTACACAATTTCCTGTCTATTATATGAGTCAGACCCTAGGAGATGCTGAAACTAGGTATCCACATTTTGGAAAAGTTAGCTCTTGCATTAATAAGCGCATCTAGGAAATTATAACCATATTTTCAATGCCATCCTATATGTGTATTGACTACGTATCCGCTTCGAAGTGTCTTGCATAAGCCCGAATTATCGGGCAGATTGGCCAAATGGGCCATCGAACTTGGAGGGTATGATATCGAATATCAGCCTCGAATGACTATCAAGTCTCAAATTTTGGAAGCTTTCGTGGCCTATTTCGCGCATACCCTCGTACCCAAAGTAGAAAAAGAACTCTTGCTAAAAACGGGTACGTCATCGGGGGTATGGACCCTCTTCACAAACGGTGCCTCGAATGTGAAAGGATCCGAGCTCGGCATCATTTTAAAACCGCCTACGGGCAGTGTCATTAGGAAATCTATCAAAACTTCTAAATTGACTAACAATGAGGCCGAGTATGAGGCCATAATTGCAGGTCTCGAACTAGCCAAGGGCCTTGGAGCAGAGGTCATCGAGGCAAAGTGTGACTCCCTTTTGGTGGTAAATCAAGTAAACGGGAGCTTCGAGGTTCGAGACGATCGAATGCAGAGGTACTTGGACAAACTTCAAGTGACATTGCACCTCTTCAAAGAATGGACACTTGACCATGTACCTCAAGAACATAATAGCGAGGCCGATGCACTTGCAAACTTGGGGTCATCGATTGAAGAAAATGATATCGTCGCGGGGACTGTCGTCCAACTATCGAGGTCGGTGGTCGAAGAAGGCCATGCAGAAATTAATTCAACAAGTTTAACGTGGGATTGGAGGAATAAGTACATTGACTACTTGAAGCATGGGAAGCTCCCCACAAACCCAAAAGAGTCGAGAACACTTCGAGCCAAAGCAGCTCGATTCTCACTCGATGAAAATGGAACGTTGTATAGAAGAACCTTCGATAGACCACTGGCAGTGTGCTTGGGACCCGGGGACACCGATTATGTATTACGAGAAATCCACGAGGGCACTTGTGGGAACCATTCTGGTGCAGACTCTTTGGTATGCAAGGTGATCAGAGCGGGGTATTATTGGGATAGCATGGAAAAGGATACCAAGGAGTTCGTTCGAAGATGTGATAAATGCCAAAGATTTGCACCGATGATCCATCAACCCGGTAAACAACTCCATTCGGTCTTATCCCGTGGCCATGAATGGGGGATGGACATCGTTGGCCCCCTACCAACGGTGCCAGGTAAAGCTAAATTTATTTTCTTATGACTGACTACTTCTCAAAATGGGTAGAAGCGCAGACCTTCGAGAAGATAAGAGAAAAAGAAGTCATCGACTTCATATGGGACCACATCATATGTCGGTTCGGGATACCTGCCGAAATAGTATGTGACAATGGAAAACAATTCATCCGCAGCAAAGTGACCAAATTCCTCGAGGACCATAAAATCAAAAGGATTCTATCAGCGCCTTACCACCCAAGTGAAAATGGTCAGGCCGAGTCCACAAACAAAACCATCATTCGAAACTTAAAAAAAAGGTTAGATGATGCAAAGGGGAAATGGAGAGAAATATTGCCCGAGGTGCTCTAAGCATACCGAACGACGTCAAAGTCGAGCACGGGGGAGACCCCATTTTCTTTAGTATACGGGTCCGAAGCATTGATCCCAGTCGAAGTCGGGGAACCTAGCGTCAGGTTTTAGCATGCCACCGAGGACTCAAATCACGAAGCTATGAACACTTCTCTCGAACTACTAGATGAAAAGCGTGAGGCTGCATTAATTCGAATGGATGCGCAAAAACAAAGGATCAAAAGGTATTACAACAGAAGGACGAACCTTCGATATTTAGGAGTCGGGGACTTAGTCCTAAGGAAAGTCACTCTCAACAATCGAGACCCAAACGAAGGGAAACTAGGCCCCAATTGGGAAGGACCGTACCATGTCCTCGGAGTCGTAGGGAAAGGATCCTACAAACTTAGTACAATGGAAGGCGAGCAACTACCAAACAATTGGTATGTATCACTGCTCAAACGCTATTACTGCTTAGGTATGACCTTCTCTCCTTTTCCATTTGTATTCAAAACTAACTCTTTGCAGATATTCGATTGGGAACATCGAGGAACCTTTCAGCTCAAAGACCTTGGGTTTTAAAGCATGCGTTGCACTCTTTTTTCCTTAGATCGAGTTTTATCCCATATGGGTTTTATCGGCAAGGTTTTTAACGAGGCAACACCTATATGCTACCTAGAATATTCAACAAGTATTCAAGGCTTCTTTTCAATCAACCTCCTTGAACACTGGGGGGCATCACCCTCGGAGGACACATTCTCAAAGAAAGCAATTCATGCCAAGGAGGGCCTCGATAGGGGAATGTTGTAATGGGCCAAACGGTCAAATGAACCGTGTCCATGTAGAATAGTCGATCCCCCAGCGACAAAACATGTACACATGTATCAATTATTTGAAGAAGCATTCTTATTATATCAAAACACTTTGTGCCTCAAAGAAGTCTACTAATTTCACATTTAACGACTCAAGGGCCAAAACCCCGAATGCACCCGAATACTCGGGGACTGTCATCGATAATCGACACATTGAGTCATCGAACACTCGAACTTATAAGACCTCAAAGAGGCACACTCGAACTTATAAGACCTCAAAGAGGCACATTCGAGCCCACAACACCTCAAAGAGGCATCCCCTCGATATTAAGGCCAAAGCCATCATACTCGGGGACTAAAGGCTACGGCCATATGAAAGACTACAGTCATATGAAAAGGCTACGGCCGAAATAATGCGGCTCGGAGACGTCCGACTTCCGCAATAAAACTAAAAGGCCTTCATATATTTCGAAAAAACCGGTTAAATCAGGCTACCCTCGGCAAAAGCAAATTATAAGGGGCTTCGATATAATCAGCCCTCGAATAATGTGAAGGCTTCGATAACATCAACCTTCGAAAAAACCTCAAGAGGTATTCATTTAACGTTGCATATCAAATTACAACGAGGTTCCAATCAATCGAACCTTCGAAAAATCAAACGAATATGAATACAAAAAATACATGCTAAGGCATACCAAAATTTTCACTAAGTCTTTAGCCAGAAAGAGGAAAACATTTATAGCCATTTTAGAGGCCGATTTGGCCTACCTAACGAGCCTAAGGGCCGAACTCAAAGAGCCTAAGGGCCGAACCTAAAACGAAGCCTAAAGNTTGAGGGTCTACTCTACCCCGAATTTGAATCAACACTCAGAGATTATAACATCAAAAATCAAGCAAACTTTGAAGAAAAATTGATGGCAAACGATCAAGGAAACTCCTTTCCTTTTTATATATACAAAAAAATATTACACAGGAGTCCTACAAAGCAAAAAATTACAAAAAGAAAGAAAAAATTCTACCTACACCAGATGGGCATTCCCCCCCGGACCTGTCACTCCCCCTGGACCACCCTCTTCCCCGGGGGTAGCTTCTTCGGCAACCTCATCATCATCATCATCTTCGACGTCATCATCATCGTCGGAGGAAAGGACAAATTTGGCATCAACCTCATTTGCCTTAGCTTGCTTTATCTCCTCGGAATGATCGAAGCCCTTAGCATGGACCTCTTCAAGGGTCTCCCTCCGGGATCGGCGTCGGGCATAGTCATTGCTTCTTTTCTCTCGGTTGGAAGCCCTCCTCAACTCCATCTGAGCATAAGTAGCATCTTTCAAATAGATGGCCACCGTCCTATAAACCTTGGCTTGTATTTTTCTGGCTTCGGCCCGGACTTCCACAACTTCGGCCTTGGCCTTCGCAAGATCAGCCTCGAGCTCGGCTATTCTGCCAGCCTGAACCAATTTTCTCCCTTGAGCATTCCGAAGTTGAACATCGAGGGCTGATACCTTTGCCAGTGCATCATTTTCAGCCACAACGAGGGTGTCCATCTTCGCCTTCCATCCATTGCACTCGGCTCGAACTTGATCTACCTCACCCCGGAGCTGCCCAATCATATCTAGCTTTTGTTGCAGCTGAGACATTAAAGTATTAGCCTTCCAAGACGGGAAAGGTAGCCCGTATTTTTTCATAACAGAGGTTACCTTCTTTTCTAACTCACTCTCGTATTCACTAGCTTTGGTCAACTCCGATCGAAGATGCTTCAGTTCTTCCTCTTTTTTGTCAAGGAGAAGCTTAAGGGTTTTCTCCTCATTCGAAGCTCTACGCAACTCGGCTTCAAAATGATGCAATTCGGTCTTCAATTTGTCAAAGGCCTGCAGAAAGGAAAGGAATGATCGATTAGATAAAAGAAGAAAAGTATGGCATTGGAGAAATTGCAGTACCACTAAAAACTTACAATTGAGCAAAGACGTTGAGCCTCCTCGAAGATTGAGCTCGCATCTGCTGGGTCGGCCTCATCGACCCCAACAAAGCAACCCTGGAAGGGGTCATTTTCACTCGGGACTCCGCCTAGCTTGGACATCTTCAAGTTCAAATCATCCCTAATGGCATTCTCGGAGAAGGCCGGAAATGACGAGGAATGATCTGCTGTCATGGCCTCGGGGAGATCACCCGAGGCGCTCTGTTCAGGCAAAGGAGCTTCGAAGCTCGCTCCCTTTGGAGTATTTTTAGAAGTTTGGGAAGCAGTTACCACGTCAGGTGATGCAGGGCCTTCATCCCCCTTTTCTTTTAATGTTCCTTCCTCGAGGCTAGGGGCTCCGATCTCAGTAGGCTTGATAGCCTCGGAAGATTTCCTGGTTCGAGTCACCAACATCGAACCCTCCATCTCGTCACTATCATCGTCCATGGACTGGTAGACCGAGTCAATATCCACATTGATGACGATGCTTTTCTTGCGCCTCCGAGCGGGATGCTTGGCTTTGAGGGTCCTCGCTCTTCGAAAATCTTTTTCTCTTATTATCCTTCTTTGGCTTTGGAGCCGAAGATCCTACTTCCTCCCCGGGAGGGGGCGGACTCATCTCGAAGAACTCACCAATACCTGCGATAGAGGAATCAGGTCACATGAAGGAAGACATTCTTAATAAGGAAAGAAACATTGTGAACGCGTACCATGGTATTTCGCTTCCCACTTGCCCTTCGACAAGTCCGGCCACTTGCGTTTGTCGTATGATGAAGTAGTAGCTAGTTTGCGAACCCAGTCCTCGAGGTCGAGGACCGCATTAGGCATCCACGGGACCGCTGGGAAAAAGAGAAAGGAATAATTATTCGAAGTTCCATTTCTCGGGGAATGGCAGGATCTCCTTGGGAATAACATCGATGGTCCTCACCCGTATGAACCGGCTCATCCAACCTCGATCCTTATCTTCATCGTTACTGGCGAAGAAGGACTTGGTTGATCGGCATAGGAGTTTGATTAAACCTCGGAAATGTTGAGGTCGATATAATCGGATGAAGTGGCTGAGGGTGAACTCGAGCCCGGCTTTTTCGACGAAGAACCTCATCATTATTACGATCCGCCAAAAGGACGGATGAATCTTGCCCAGGGTGACTTGATATCTTTGGCAGAATTCAAGCACGAGCGGGTCGAGGGCACCCAACGTAAAGGGGTATGTATACGCACTCAGGAACCCCTCTACGTAAGTTGTGATGTCCTCCTTACGAGAAGGTATTTGCAGAACAACCTTCTCTTCCCATTTACACTCTCTCCTCACAGAATCGAGGTGTTTTATCTCAATGGACCTTATGTATCTTGATGCATACTCTCGACGGCCGGGGACGTCGGGAGGGTTCTCGACTATAAAGTCTTTCTTCAAAGTAAAATTGTTCAGTATGATCTCATGAAGCGCAGGCGGTTTACCACCGGTCGGACAGAAAATAGAAGTGGAGGTTCCTTCTTTCTGAGGAACGGACTTGGAAGTTTATGCCATCGGTTCTTTAGAAAAAGAAGGAAGAAATGAATAAACCGGCGATGTTTTGAGCTAATACAGCGGAGGAATCGGTGGTGAAAAGGAAACGTATAAAGGAAAATAGGTGTTGCAAAGCGGAAAATTTCTTAATGAGAAGAGAAAACAAGTATATATAGAGGAAGGCGGCGACGGTTCATTAATATTGATGGCTGACCGGCTCTGACGTACATTTAATGCTTTTGAGGAAAAGAACCGATGGGACGCTTCGGTCATTTCAACGCTTGCGTCATAAGAGTGATTCCATCATAAAGGACTTCGGGAATTCAAATTGTTTCATATCATTTCATTCTAAGAAACGCGGGGACCATCTGTATACGGTCGAAATCGGAGAGCTCGATTTCGAGGACGTAATGGTACCCCGGGCTCGAGCTCAGGCAACACGAAGTAAAGACTAGATCTGACTAGAAAACGCACACCTCGAGGGAGAAAATCGGAGACCCGTCATGATCTACCTCGAGGGCAGTACAATTTCGATGACACTCAAGAAAGAGCGGAAATTTCTCAAGGACACGTGGATCAGGGCATAAATTATGGGATAAGATTTGTATGAAATAGTACGAGTCCGTACTAGGTTGTTATACAGCTGTACCAATAAAATTCTTTACCATAATTAGGAGTGTACCATATTAGGGTTTTCCTCTCCTATATAAAGGGGACCCCAATCATTTGTAACAATTATCTCATTCACTGCAATAGAACATTCTACTCTGCTTTTCTCGTTTACTGTGCTCCACAATTGTTCTTCAGCTTTATTATTTTTACTCTATTGTTCATACTTTATTTGCTCTTAACTCACCTCGAGGGTCCCGAGATAATCGAGCTCGAGGTCCCCGCTGCTCTAACAACACCGGTTTGGTTCATCAATTCTTCTTACTTAAACCTAATATTACTTGTATATTCACTAGTATTGGAATAAATCACATATCTTTAAAACCACAAATCATCTTTAATTATTACTCACATTTTTTGAGGTAATCAATTGTTAATGTCAAACCAATCAATGCAAACCATGTATTACTTGTATACACATTCTTCTATTCAGCGATGGTTAAGTGCAGAGACGGAGCTAAGATTTGAATTTAATGGGTTTTGAATTTGCCATGAAACTCATAGCTCGTCTTATTTACTTGGTTCACAATTAAATATTTAATGAATTACGTAATACAAATATTGTGTTTAAGCAAAAGTGACTGAGTTCGGCCGAGTCAGTATCTAATAAACTAGCTCCACCTCTGCTTTAGTGATATTATTCTTACTTTAATAACTACTTTAAATTACTGAGTTTGGTGCAAAATCATTAGCAGCCTTAAGGGTATACCTAGTGTAAATATTCTATTCAAGTAAGTTTTTATTAAATTGAAATTTAGAAAATTGACTATTCTGTACGGAAAACATCCTTTTTAAGAGTCATTCTATGGGCCCATAAACGACGTGCAATGCGTTGAATGGTTGGGTTTCAGGCCTTTTCAGCATTGGATGTGGGCTTTTTAGTTAATTATTATGTTGGCCCCATTTCGAGATTCCCTTATCTAATTAAAATAAAATAATATTAAAAAGTGTAATTTTCATAAAGCACTATTTTTTAGTAGCAATTAGCCATCTATAGATATCATTTGCTATATTACGGATTGCAGATACCTTTTATGTGGTTATAAGATGTATTTGATGTATTTAAGCTATTGTATTCATGAATACAGTAGCAAAAATAGGCGTGAATCAGGGAAGCCCAGCTAATCAGTTGTTGTATTCGATTGTATTCATGGAGTGAAACATGGGATTACAGTTGGACAGATTATTGTATTCGACTGTATTCACGGCGTGAAATAGGGGATTACACTGTTTTTAAAAGGGAAAGTGAATCAATTAACATAATAGACTCGTAATATAACTCAACAAACTCAATTATAACACACAAATTTTGTATTTTTAGTTATAAAAAAGATTCTCAACCGAAAAATACCCCAAAAACATAGCAATCTTCAGAGAAATTATGTAATACATCTGAATACATAAATTAAATTAATTAAAAAAAACTTATGAATACATTCTTGGCATATAGCGAGAAAGTGAATACAATGAAATACATGGAATACAGCGGGATACATTGAAATACAATGAGAAAAAAAGATAGTGAATACATTGAAATACATGGAATACAACGAGATACATTGAATTACAGTGAAAAAAAGACAATGAATACAATGAAATACATGAAAATACATTGACATATATTAACAGAAAATCATCCTACAACATCCATATCTCAATTTTTTCAATTGGCAGGGACGGTATTCACGAGGCTAGTGGAGCCAGCTTATAGAGCAGTGAGGAACGAGTTTAGGAGGAGACAACTTCTTGATCCATAGTAGAGAAGGAATCAATTAATGGAGGATATCGACTTCTTGCTAACAATTCTCCTACTACAATGGAGGGTATTGACGGAGGAGAAATCGCAAGCGAACTAGACAGAGAAGATGAAGAGAATCAAAAATTTTAATGGGATGGGGGGAAGAGAATGGGATGCATCAAAGTAGAGAGAGAGAAAATATCGTAAGTAATTAGCGTATTTAGTGGCTTAGGGCTAGGAGGTAATCAAAATTAAATATTTTGCTATAAACATTAAAAGGTATCTATTGAATATAATTTTTTAAATGGTATTTATTTAAAATAAATAAGGTGTTAACCTTTGCTATAGGAGGTAAAAACATCAATTATTCATGTGAGTAGTAAGTACAGTCATAATCCTACTTCTTTAATTAATTTTGAAAGAATTTCTCAATTATCAAAGTCAGAATTTTCCATGTCATACTATTTGATTTATTTTATTTATGAGAATAAAAAGACTTAATTAAATATCTTGCATGTAGGCGTATTTTGAATATCGTATAAGTAGCTATAATTGGCTTAGAGAAACATAAAACTGTTTTTTTTTTTAAATTATTGTGTGGGTTCTAATTGCTAAACTACCAGTATTCCTTACACGGCAGGCACAGGTGGAGACATCCCAAACCCTAAATAGATCAATGAGTGCATAATCTGGAATTGCAGGGGAGCGGGTAATGATGAATTCAAGAGGATTTTTGATCAATATTAGATTACAACAGACCTTTTCTGGTAGCCTTATTGGAAACAAAGTTAGCGGACCACCAAGCTATTGTTGAGGACTTTGGGTTCACAAAAATGACCCAAGTCGCAGCTCAAGGCAACTCGGGAGGAATGGTTATGATGTGGAATGAAGCAGAGGTAACAGTGGATCAAGTTGCTAGCACTGATCAGGAAATCCACGCCATGGTAAAGGTAAAAGATTCTCCACACCAATGGCTTTTATCAGTTATTTATGCTAGATGTTTATTAGAGGAAAAAAATATTATGTGGAATAACCTAAAAATAGTAGCAAATTCCTTTAAGGGCCCCTGGCTAGTCACGGGAGACTTTAATGAAGTGACAGGGGCAAATGAAAAATTTGGTGGACTATTGTTGCTCCCAAACGCACACGCAAGTATACGCGGTCGACAAATAATATAATGATAAGTTGAGTGTCGAACCCACAGAGACTTGTGTAAACTACTCACTAAATCGCTAAAATTGTTATTCAGTCCAGCTAAAATCAAAGTCCGATAATATGATTATATGATACTACGATTCTAAATAATAACTAAATTATCAAGTAACGAGTTGATTGTTCTGTATTCAGTAGAGACAAGTATTCCAGGGTGGTGATCGATACACCTGTCATGGGCGGCTTTCCAGCCATGCCCCATGACCCCTTGGGCGCGCCCCGTGGCGTCCTAGCGAACCTCCCAATGCCTAGCGCCACGGACGGCCCCGTGGTCTTGGCCGCGCCAAGTGACAAGCGCGCAGGTGCCTCTGTCGCCCCACC